TCGAACTGCTAGGCTGGCAGGCATTAGGTCTAACAAATTATTTCTTGCATCCCAGCCTGACATGACATATTAGAATAAAAGAATAATAAAAAACTCATTTTTAAAAGTTTCGTGTATTTTACACATAAACACACAAATCAATTGCAACCAGCACTGTGTAGATTCTTTTCTAATATTTATCAAAACTTGCACAAAGTTATATTCTGCAACTTGTGTAAATCATGCTGATTAAACATATTTATTTCTCTTATTTTGTATAATTTATTCTCTTTCTATAAGGGAAGTTATGTGAGGAACTAAAATGCTGCCCCATGACCACTGAAAAGTTTATTCAACCACAAGCCTAGCTTCTGAGATTTCACCTGGTGTATCCCACAAAATTTGAAACCAAAAACAGAAACCATGTAATATCTTTAAAGACCAACCAAAATAACTCAACACATTGTCCTAGTTTTTCAGTTTTCTAGAACTTGTCATCAAGCTGGATGTTAAAAAGCAAGATAGGTGTGGTGATCTTTAGGCAATCTTTATCTAAGTTTGTAAGTCAACCCTAGGTGGGTTGTGCTGGAGAGTTCAACATTTACGCCAAGGCTGCCTTGTCATAAGCAGCACAGAATGTCATGGTCTCCATAACAACCATGGGCCTCCTTCAAGTAATAACTCATCCCACACATTGTGAAGGTCACGGCTCTTGATCTGGTATTTCGTTTCAGGCAGGAAAAGGGAGATCTGAAGATAGAAGAGTTGATGGTGGCTCTTTGGCAAGGACATAACACTCTTACATTGGGTTTAGTCTCTACAGTGGTGGGGGATCTATTAAAATGATCCACCCCAGGAGCCAAATGGTTTTCTGGATTTTCTTGTTTATATAGTCAGTGCTTCTGCCAATGCCCTGATTCACCTTTGGAATAAAGAAATGACCTGGCAGGTTGACATGATCATTCCTAGGCACCCTGTCTCATATGTAACTCCATGATTTACTGAGGGGCTGTAGGCAATGAAAATTCAAGAAGGACAGCTAGCGACAGTGGAGGAAGGTTCAGGATGACCCCCCCCCCAAGACACAGGCTGATGCCAGTTTCAAAGCTTACTGTGGTAGTGGCAAAGAAAAAAGTTGTTAAATGCTTTGCAGATAAAATCTTTCACAACTTTCACAACCAACTTAGACTCTGCATTAACAGTAACAGGGCCAGGTGGCACACATGTACTGACTTGTCTAGTTGTTTGGGATTCTTTTCAGTTTAGCTGAGGCCTAGGACATAAGAACAGGGCTGAATGCTGCTATCAGTGGATGCATTAGTATCATTCTTACAATGTCTTGTAAAAGTAAAAATGGAAGCCCAAATAAATGTCCTGCTGGGACTGCCTTTTCTGTGTAAGCTGCAGAATCTGAAAGATTTCTAACTGGATAAGCCAGAATGCATTTGAGAATCTGTAAATTAGACTTCCGGTTGATGGCGGCACATTAGCAGACTCACCTCCCGGACCTCCCGGGGGTGAAGCTGCGCTCCAGCCGAAGGAAGGGGGGTGCAGGCTCACTACTCCCCCAGGGACCCGGCTGAAGGGACCCTGGCCATGGAGCTTTTGAGAGGTTGCCTCTTCGATGGCGTAATGCCAGAGAATTGAGGCACCTCTCCGCTCTGATGGTTGTTTGTGCTGAGAGACCGAATGGACTAAGTGACGCTGACCGGGGCAAGCGCAGGAGATCGAGCGTGAAATGGAGTGTAAACGAGGTCTGTGGACCAATTATGAACATGAGTCGTTAAGCATTGATTAAAAAGAAAAGAAGCTCCCCACCCCCACCCTACGGAACAGAAGATAAGGTGAGCGGGGGAGGGACGCCTCCCAAACGCATAGATTTTAGAGCGATTGAGGGGGGGAGCGGAAGCATAAAAGGTTAAAACTGCTAAGGAGTACTTACCAAGGTGAGTGCGAGCATTAAGGAGCATATTCAGAGACTTTCAAAAAGTTTGTGAAAGTAAACAAAGAGAAAGAGGAGCATCTGAAATCGAAAGTAACTGAGAGCCCAAAACCGGAAGGAGCCTACGAGCCGGCAAAGACTTTGGCAGACTCCATGCGCCATCTGCTGGACCAAATGAATAATCTTAAAGAGCAGATGACAACAATGACCCAGTGTATTACCACTCAACAAAATCAGATCAGCGAGACCTTGGAAATGATGAATCAAACGAATTAGAAGGTGAAAGAAGTGGACGCCACTACCCAAAAGGTGAAGAAGAAAGTACAAAAACTGGAAAAGAAGCAAGTTTCTACAGAAGAGCAGTTGCTACAATTACAAATGGAAAAGGCTAATATGATCCTTTGTTTTCAGGACATGCCAGAGACTAAGGGAGAGAATCTGAAGGAAGTGATGAGTGAAACACTGGCCCCAGTGACAAAGATGAAGGCGGAATTTTTGCTAAGCGAAATGGATGTGGCCTACAGATCATATTCAGGATACATAAAGAAAAATAATCTGCCTGGGGAAATTGTCGTAAGATTCTCAAAGAGGCATGTAAGGGATGCAATCCTGAAAGCAGTATCTGGAGCACCCCTGAGAGCTGGGGAGAGTGTCATCAGAGTACTGAAGGATATTCCATTTGAAATAAGACAGCGGAGAAAGAAATATAAAGATCTTGTTCTTTTTCTTCAAACAAATTCAATTGGATATAGATGGCAAATTCCAGAAGGCGTCACCTTTAAAATTAAGGATAAAAAAGAAAAGATTGACTCTGTTCTGAAAGCGAGATAATTTTTAAGAGTCCAGCTGGGAGGGCCAGAGGAGGAAGAAAAAGAAGGGGACAGCAAGTCCAGTGGCGAGCTGGACTCGGGTTCTTCCGGAGAGGACTCTCTGTCTGAGAAAGGGGCAGCAGCTCCTAAAAGTCCTTATAAGTTGTGGAAGAGACTGGACAAGAAAAAGTGAAGGCTGAAGGACTCTGAATTGTGCCTTTGAAAAATTTTGAATTGAGATGGTTTAGGGTATTTCCTGATATCAGTTAAATTTAAGATGTGGGAAAAGTTAACAGACTATGTGACTCAGTTTGTAATGAGATTAATATGATTAAGACTAGATGTGTATTTAAGCTGATTAGAAGATCTCCTCTCTTGGGTTTTTAGTCAGTAGTGGGTATCTTTTCTTTATCCCCTTAAATGTAGTCCCCTTCCTTATTTCTGTTATAGTTTGTAATTTTAATAAAAATGCAATAAAAAATTCCCCATCAGGGAGAAAAAAAAAGAGAGGATCTGTAAATTAGAGGGAGAGCTTGTGGGGACAAGACATCTCTTGATACGTTAGAGGGAGATAAAGGATCAGGATCAAAGGAACTTCTTGATTAGGGGCAGGAAATCAGAAGTCTCCATGTTCAACCAATAATGCTGGAAATTGTAGCTATGGAAGCCCTTTTTCCTAAGGAAGAAAGCTTAAAAGAGAATGGAATAAGATCTATGTTGCCAAAGCGGCTTAGGGTAGGCTACCTAGAATTTAATGACATAACAGGGCATGCTAGTACTGCCTGCTGGGAGTTGAGGGGAGCACCCAGCCTTCGTAAAAGGCGGGGGAGGTCTTAGGGATTAAGGAGGGACCTTTTTTCTTTTCTTTTTTCTTTTTTTGCAAATACAAAGTTCTACTTCCACAGAAAGGGCTCCAATTTTTTATATGATTTCCATGCAGAAGTGGCTGCCCCAGAAAAAAAGGTTAAAATTGACTGAACACCAAACTGGATGTGACATTTTGGGTCTACCATAAGTGCCTCAGGGACTTGAACTACAGCATGGGGGAGGGGCTTCAGCTTTCCCTCACAGCATTTTCCCAACCCAAAACTGCCCCAGGTTATTATTTGCTCTGTTTAGGGGACTGCATGTGGAGGAAAAAAACCTTAAGTTTCCAGAAAGGAAAATAACGTTCAGGACATTCAAGTGGCATTATAAGAAATACTGCCTATTTCACACACAAGGCCAGCGAAATAGGTGGATATCTCTCCCTTATTATAATTGAGTAGTGGGCACCAACATTCTAAAATTGCCCCCTTTAGTGTTAGGCCGGAAGAACTGCCACTCAGAAGACACTGGCTGGGTTGACTGGCTGCTTTGTGCAGTCCCGCCCAGCGTTCCAAGGTCATTTGCATATGGAAGCTGATTGGACTTCACTCCATTCCACACCTCAAACTCCCCCCCCCGCAAGGCAGTTGGAATTTTCAGTTGCATAACATACCTCATAGGGGAGAGGAGAATGATGTCAGCTGAGAGTGCTCTTGACAGAAACTGCCACAGCCCCTTCCCAACACCAGTATCCCAGGCACTCAGAACTGTTAGGCAGGTACACAATAAAACCAAGAGGAGGGTCCCAACCTGCCTCAGAATGATGCCAGCCAGTACAGTTGCCTATCCAGCTGATTCTCTCCACTACTGCAATCAATTTATGGTTCAGTGCACCTTAATTACCAAGGCTGTTTGCATTAACCTGGTGGATTCATACCCCCACCAGCTCATCCATCCATTCCATCAGCCTGCTCTGAGGAGGGAACCATGAGAAGGACCATAACTCTGAAGGCTCTGAGGGCAGCTAAGGAAGTAAAGAGCCCAGAAACAGAACAGGAAGAAGATGAGATGGAATGTCCAGAGGCTGTGGTCCTTGCTGCATTAGCCACCTTTGCATGTCTTACTTGCCTTGCTCCTAACTGCCTGATTTATCTGGCTCATCCTGATGGGTATGGTCCCTCACTGAGGAACCTACTGGACCACTGCCTGACCGCCTCTTCCTCTTAGGCAAAGAGGTGCTTATGGTGCCACTACAAAAGCTCATACAAGTATAGAGGGCTATAAAATACACTTGAACAACTCCATTTGTTATGTGGTCACTATTACTCTCTCCTTCTGTGCTTGCTAGAACCAAGTAGAATTTTAAAGTGCATTGAAGCTGATGTTACACTTTCTTTCATATAATAACTGAGATATGAAAAAGAAATTTCTGTGTCAGGATTTTTATGTTTTGAAATGCTTACCAAGGGGAGCCATATATCCTGAAGCCTCTGACTGTCACTTCTGAATCTTGCAGGTATATGCAATTTGTTAAGAGGGACTGTACGTTTTCATAGTTCTCTGGCTTCAGCTTGGATACAGAGGGGAAATAGTAAAAGTCCTGCTTGATTAAGTCTGCCATGAATTCTTGGTCAAAGGTCAATTCATGATTGCCTGCTATCACAATCTTGTAGTCATATGGTAGGCTGCCTAAAATAGGAGAAAAACACAGAGTAAAGCCATTCATTGTTATACTGTTGACTGAAAAACTCAAATAAATTATGCATAATTATTTAAATTATCCTGAAAATGCAGCTGGATATTGTAAAGGAATTCTCAAGATGAAAATAAGAGCACCTACAAGAGGTCTTGTCAAGGAGCTACACAGATATTTTTTAAAATGTTACTGAATGACACTAATATTTTCATAGTGATTCCCTTTATATTTATTTCAAAAGAATTAGCATCAAATTGCCACCATTAACATCTAAATGTTATGCTGATACTGAGTTGAGAAAGTGGCAATAAATGTGACATTGTATAAAATTCGATTCATGAGCACCTAAAACTTGAAAAATCATATAAAATTCCTATGCTCTTATCCGTTTAGACCAGCTGCTATTGTTTGTTAGACAAGACTTCTTTCTGGGCTTTAACAATTACCTCTGAAAAAGGATTCAAAGTATTTTGTGCTATCCTAATTATTAATTATTTGCATCCGGATCTCTAAACTACAAACATCTCAGTGTCTTTGTGGGTTAAAACTTTTGTTGTTCAGTCGCACAGTCGAGTCCGACTCTTCGCGACCCCATAGACCAGCTCCCGCCAGGCCCTCCTGTCTTCCGCCGTCCTTTGAAGTTTGGTGTTAAAACTAGCCAATTCCAAATTACTGGCATCTGTGTGGATAGGGAAATCTGCAACAGGGTAAGCCACAACTACCAATGAGATTTCTGCAGAAAAATCTGTGACCAATTCCCACCCACCCCAAAACTTAACCGTGACACATACATATCCACAGATGTTGGGGGGGAAAGCAACCCACTGATGTCTGAGCACTGGTTGGGTTCTTGTAGCAACCAAATCAGATACAGATGTCTGCCTTGAGATTTTACACTAGGAGGAGAGAGAAGCAGCAGCAAACAGCAGGATGTGGTGACAATCAGAAATGCTGGGCAATACGATGGTGACCCAAAGGAGCACTGAAGAGTATGATGATGACCCAGGGAGGGGGAAATTATGTTGGGCTAAGTACCACATTGTGTCATACACTTGTCAAAACTAGTGGGCTCAGTAGCAGAGATGGGGGGGGGAATAATTACCACTAGGATGTCACCTCCAGGTGAAAGGTCAAGTCCTCAAATTTCTCCCCTTTCTGTGAGGTCAGGTCCTCAAAAAAAATCATATGGTAAATTCCTTGAGCATACATCACTTCCTGCACTCCTCCCTCCTCACCTACTTCCTTTCTTCTCCCCCCCCCACTGACTACTTCTCACCCTTCCTCTAATAACAACAGGACTATATTCCTAGTGCTTTAAGGCACAGCCTAACAAGATGAAAATTCCAGAAGGGGAGCTATGTTAGTCTGTAGCAGCAAAACTAAACAGGAGTCCAGTGGCACCTTAATAGCTTAAAAAAAAATTCAACATAAATTTATTTTGGGTCAGAGGACACTTCCTTATTCAAATCTCCTTTGAAATACAGGAGCCAGGATGTGTCATTTGGGGTGGTCCAAAGATTGTTTTGGGGTTCAGCCTAGCCCCAGTGTCTGCTTGTGTGATTGTCCTAGGGGCTCCGCACTTTGGAGGATATGGCACCAGAACTGCACTTTGGACCAGGACACAGCATAGGTCCCCTCAAAATGAAGAGTCTGCTGAAGATGGGGGTGTATGAAGTGTGGGGTTCCAAACCTTATTTTGGGTGCAGAGGGCACTTCCTTATTCAAATCTCCTTTGAAATACAGGCCTCGGGGAAGCACTCCGAATAGAAGCTCATGGCATCAGAACCGGTGTTTGGACTGGGCATCACTGTATGCACCTTGCAGGGCACAGTCTCCAGAGAGCGGGGATGTGTCATTTGGGGTGGTCCAAAGATTGTTTTGGGGTACAGCCTGGCCCCAATGTCTGCCTGTATGATTGTCATAGGGGCTCTGCACTTTGGAGCAGCTGGCTCCATAACCGCACTTTGGACCAGGACACAGCATATGTTCCCTTGAAGGGGAGAGTCCTGTGAACCTGGGGGTATATGATATGTGCTGGTCCAGACCTTATTTTGGGGTTCAGAGCTTTCCAACTCTCCTTAGTGTTTCTGAATGACTTGACAAATAAGTAACAAATAAGGAATGGATTGTCATGCAGCACGTTTGGAAAAGTTGAACCAGCACCTCAGTCACACTTGCACTCAACAGCAGTCATTCCACTCACCAGAGGCTTTCCAATAGTCAACCACACTGAGACAGTCCAGTGGTTACTATGTACAGGAAATTTATTTACAAAATATACAGCTCTCCAACAAACTGTTCCGCCAGACACCATCCACCATCTGAGAGCGAGTATAGCAGTGGTTCTCAACCTTCCTAATGCCGCGACCCTTTAATACAGTTCCTCATGTTGTGGTGACCCCCAACCATAAAATTATTTTCGTTGCTATCGTAAGACCATTGAAAATTTGTGTTTTCCGATGGTCTTGGGTGACCCCTGTGAAAGGGTCGTTCGACCCCCAAAGGGGTCGCGCCCCACAGGTTGAGAACTGCTGGTATACAGTGATACACATCTACATATATACATTGGTCAGCCAACCAGATTAGTGCTGAATCATGGTGACTTGGCTTGCCTCTGCCAAGTCCAAACTGGCTGAATCCGGTTCAGTGCAGCTGTCAGCTGTCAGATAGATGCTTCTGATCATAGTGCTGAAGGTTACACACCGACACTCTCCCTAAGGTTCAGTATCTATGATCGTATTTAGACTCCCCCTGAACTTTAGGAGCTTAGCTTTGTCTAGTGCTTTGGTAAACACAACAGCTACGTTGTCTTGGGGAAACAGTGCTGCAATGCAATGTATGGGGACCGTCTTTCCCCATACATACCCCCAAGAGCACTTCAGTCTGGGACCCAACATCGCCTGGTGATTCCAGGCCCCCGGGGAGGTAAAGCTTGCTGCGACCAGGGCCAGATCGTTCTCAGTGGGGGCCCCCACCTGGTGGAGATCAGGGCCCTGCAGGACCTTATGCAGTTCCGCAGGGCCTGCAAGACGGAGCTCTTCCGCCAGGCTTTTATATAGGGGCCACCACTTCTACTACTACCACCACTACCACCACTGAAACAACGGGGTTGGGAGTGTTCTCCGGAAGAACGTTCATAAATTTGCATGGCACTGATGCTTCTGGACTGGCTTGGACCATCGACAGTACAATTACACCTAAGGAAATTATTGTTACCATCCTCAGAGACCATCTTGTCTGTATGGAGCACTTTACCTGTTTGTTGTGATTTAATGGTTTTATTTTATTTTATTTTTTTTATTTACATGAGGCTTATATACCGCCCATAACCCCTAGTGGGTCTCAGAGCGGTTTACAGACTTACTACTATATAGTAGTGATTAGACCTACCTAGGGCCACATTTCACAAGGGGAGGGACTTCCCTATCGACACCCGGTTAGCAGCGCCTGTTTTATATTGTTTTATGTATGGGCTTACCCCTGTATAAGCCGCCCTGAGCCCGTTCGTGGGGAGGGTGGGGTAAAAATGCAAATAAATAAATAAATAAATAATTCTCTTTGCACTGTATCCCTTACATTTTGGTACCTAATGTTGATGTGCCTGCTTCGAGGCCTGATACCTTGTGAATCAGCTAACTGTTCTGCTGCTGTATTATCACATTCAATCAACATTGGTTTGTCATATGATACATCAAAATCAGTTAATAATCGTTGAAGCCATTTAAGTTGTATTGTACAATCATTTATAGCTGCAAATTCAGCTTCACAACTGCTAGTAGCCACATACTGTTGTTTTACAGATTTCCAGATAACCAGCGATCCACATACATGTATTGCATATCCAGTTATGCTTTTTCCACTATTACTGTTACCCCAACTTGAATCAGTAAAGGCTATAACTTGTTGTTTGTCATCACATTTTAACACAAGTTTACATTGTAAAGTGCCCTTTAAAAACCACAGTATTCTTTTGGCTGCATTCCAATCCTTCATAGTTGGGTTTGCATTTCTTTGGCACAACAAATGCACAGCATAAGAAATATCAGGGCGAGACCAAGTAGTCAAATAAATGAATGATCCCATCAAGGAGTGATATAAGGTTTTGTTATCAAAAAATTTACCTTCTGGTTCTTTAGACCTGTAGACATTGGTGTTGCTACTGGGTAAGCATTTTGCATATTGTAATCCTTTAATCCTTTAACAATTCAAAAATTTTGTCTTTCTGGCTTAATTCATAAAAACCATCAGAATTCTTGCATATATCTGTTCCCAGATAATGCCTGATTGTACCCAGATGTTTCATTTTGAAACACTGTTTTGTAGCTTGAATGAACCATTCCAATTGATCACAGTGTTTGAACATAAAACACAAGTCATCTACAAAAATTAACAAGTATGAATGAATGAATGTTATTGTTACAGCGCATAGCCAGCAATTATAAAAAACCATAGAAATAATTTACAATAACCAAATGGTAAAAAAATTAACAAGTAGCATTTGGAATTTCCAACTGTTTTACTAAACATGCATGGGTCAGCTATGCTTTGCTCAAAACCCATATTTACAAGAGTTTTTGTAAGACATTGGTTCCATAAATACCCAATTTGTTTTAAACCATAAAGACCTCGTTTTAGTTTCAGCACCAGGTTATTGTTGCTATGCTCAAAACCAGGAATATGTTGCATGTACAATTCCTCTTTCAATTCAGCATTGAGGTAAGCTGTAGTAAAATCAAAATGATGCACTTGCTTCCCCTCTAAGCCAGCTTTTGTTAAAGCTACATTCAGGGTGTTATTTCTTATGGTTGGTGCAAAGGTTTCATCGTAATCCCCTTCCTTTTGCAGAAAGCCCCTTGCTACGAGTCTAGCCTTTCTTTGGGGTTCACCATTCTGCATAGGCTTCAATTTATAGAGCCATCTACATCCTATTACAGTTTTGTCTTTAGGCAATTCAGACAAATCAAAAACATCATTTTCACAAAGTGACTCATAC